GCTTGTAAACCATACATTTGCCATCGTTCGTTTTCGTTCATCACGAGGCAGTCATGACTGTCATGTTGCCCTTGACTAGGATGGCCGACTTGACAACCATTACAGGATTCCACACAAAGTCTTTCAACTTTTTGTGCGACTGCATTCGCATATATTCCTTCCAATAAATTGTAAGATGCGGTTTTTCCATGCAGACACTCCATCGTATGGCTTTCACAGCGAAATGGCAATATAGCTATAGCAAACATTGTCTTTTGTACTGAAAATTTCGAGCTCTGCTTAATGACTGTTTCGGGCATTTGGTCGCGTTACCTGTCACATTGGCCCAGGCTTGCCCGCGCTAATTGGTCGCGTTACCGGTCACATTTGGCCCAGGCTTGCCCAGCAAAGTGACATCATAGTTTTGCATACTAATTACTTCCGGAGCAGGTGACGTCATTGGCGGCATCCCTTTGAACTCCAGATGCGGGGTTTTACTATTAATATATATTTATTTTTAAAAACAATGGGTGTAACGTGTGTAACGTGTCATATCTTTGTATGTTTTACTACAGTTATGTAACGTGTGGTGTAGCGTGTGTGTAACGTGTCTAGTCAGTACGTAAAAATAGATTGATATTTGGCGCATGTGCGACCAGATATGCTTGAGCTCATCTCACATAATCCCAAAATCATAGGAGATGGAAGTTTGCAATAAATTCTAGTGCAAGTTCACGATCGGTAAGTCCATACATATATCAGCATAAATGAAAAGCTTGAATTGGGTTTAAAATCTAGTGAGTATGTCAATCAATTGATAAGTACATCGAAAGACCTTGTCATCGGTCGACCCTTTCCAGTACTGGTGACTTTCTGCGTCCAAATCTATGTAGAACAACTCTTTTCAGGAACTCGTACTTCAATAGAATTGTGTATCTATGGAACAGTTTGCCTAGTGATATTAAATCTTCTTCTTCCGTATACGTCCTTAAAGCTAAACTATACGAATATTACTTTAATAAACTGATTACAGTATTTGATGCAGATAGGTGTAGAACTTGGAAAACACTATGCAGTAATTGTAGATCACTGCAAATAAACTGCTGCTCGTAATACCTACATGCTCGTAGCATGATCGATGGGTTAATCTGTTATATGCTTAATATGCTCGGTTTTCGTTACAACTCTTGATACATTTTTTTTTCGTCATATAAATTAGTCACAAACTGAGTTTCAATAGATTAACCATTCGAGCATTCTTCAATCGAGATTAATTTTTACTGTTGTAAATAGTTTTTTATGTACGTCTGTATTTCTGTTGTCTTGGTGGGACTTAATTCGGAACTTCTGTTCCGTTGTCCTGACCTTCGATCTTATTGATTGTCAAGTTATTAAAAAAAATAAAAATCAGCTAAAAGTAGGAAAATCATTGAAAGTTTTCCAAAATTGTATGTAAGTAGGTCAGAACGATGCGTTGTCTGTTGTAAAATTCTTGAACTTAAAGCCCGGGCTATGCGCGAATCAAACCGAAACCTTGAAATCCCCCCCCCCCGGGCATACCTGGGGAATTTGCTTGTTTAGTATTTTAAAGGCGGATTTTCAGTCCTCGCCTACGACGTCAACGACCAGTCCGTGAGGAAACTCCTTTACTGCTCCCTCGTTTTGCCCCAGCTAGAATATTGTTCCTGTTTGTGGTCACCATACACAATTAAGCATCGAGCTGTCATTGAAAACATTCAAAGAAGAGCCACAAAGTTTATATTAAATTATCCGCCATCGGAAGTCTCATGCCTGGACCGACTCGTACACCTTCAAATGTTACCTCTTGAGTACCGCAGAGAATTGAGAGACCTTCTTCTATTGTACACATTTCAAAACGGGATGATGTTCATAAACTCTAATGACTACTTTATTCCAAAAACTAGTTATTACCGAACACGAAATTCTGACATAAATAAGTTGTCTTCTTTAGCTACACATAAGCGAACGTACTTCCAGTCTTCATATACTTTCCAAGGGCAGTTAGAATATGGAATGACTTACCGTCAAGTTCTAAGGACTGTCCTTCCATTTTGTCTTTCAAAAAAAAATAGCTTGCCCACTACCATGGTAAATTGGCAACCTATACTCCACCATAAGTCCGCTCGAATTTACATGACTTACTATTTGTGTAACCTTTTTGTAATATACCTGTATATTTTATGGCTTTTTATGTAAAGGGTGCCGTTATCAATTGGGAGTTATCCTGTTACTGCATCCTAGCTGTCACTACGGTTGTTCGTAACATTGTTTATGTATTTATCTGCAATATTGTGACAAAACTTATTAAATTAAATTAAATTTATAATCCTTGTTCTTTTTGTCTGATTTTTATCAGAAATGTACCAAACAAGGTGTTTTTATCGCTATTTGTTGTATTTGAGTAAAATGTGAACAATATGAAAAGCTCGCAATGCATGACCCTGACACTAATCCTTTAAAGGAAATATTCTGTTTGAGAAAAAAAATATATACTCATGATTGTCAGCCTTGGGAAAAAATTATCTGAAATTTATTCATTATTTTATAATCTTCTTCCAATGTATACATTCATCAATTAATCGTCCTTTTCTAACACAAAATAACTATAGTTCTCAAGATCCCCTATATTCTTTTTACATGAAGTACTCAGTTATAGAAAACCGCTGAGAAAAATATTATATAGCAAAAGGTTCATTAAAGCAAAAAATCCAAGTCAGCGTCCAACCTCGTTCCCAGGCGTCTTCCCTGGAACAATAAGTTGAATCAACATGAATTACGTTTCATCAGTGGCGTAGCCAGAACGATAATTGGGGGGGGGGGGGCATATTCATATATTCGTGTTCTGCTTAATTAATTTCTTTTGAAATCAATTGTTTTTATGGTATGTGAACACGAATATATGAATATGGGCCCCCCAATTATCGTTCTGGCTACGCCACTGCGTTTCATTCAAAAGTATACAAATACAGACAATCAGGAGAAAAATTATTGAGACGACCGCATAAATGCCCCCCTCATCCCCAATTCAATGTTATGTGAATGACTGAAAAGACAAAATTCAACCCACTTTTCCAACATTGATCAAGGGGGCAGGGGGAGACCGACGTACTTTAAAATGGCCAAAAATGTGAAAAGTCTCATTATTTTTGCACGCGATTGTAGGTTTTTGCTGGCACCCCTGACCAAAAATCTTGGCTACGCTTCTGGTCAAACAAGGATCAGAGTTGGCAGTCGAATTGTCTATTACCCATCTCTAAAATACAATGGGGAAGGAGTACCATGGCTAAACCTTAAGCAAAACAGGAAATTCCCTGATCCAGGGTAAGGGCGGTATGAAAATAAATATTATCCTTAAAGGGGAGCCATGGGGTAAAGACCTATCTAAAATGATCATGTTTTGAGATTGGCTTTCAGAAACAAAAATGATCTTTGTTCGTGACTCGTTCTTTAGAAAAACGATTTCTATAGTTTTATATTGTCTTTCATTGTTATAATCAAGTAAATCAACCAACCACGGGCCTGGATAGTACCGGTAGATGATGAGCTATAAATCTTTATTCTGTGCCCGAGCCATGAAAAATTATTTGGAAAAAATGAGGGGCCACGAAAAATTTATCACGAGAAATATCTTCCGCTACACCCCCCCCCCCCCCCCCC